TCGATATTAAACTAACAACTCATTGTCTGTCTGCCTAAGTAATTATCATACTATAAAAGATCCATCTTAGAATTCATTTAAGTTCTAGAGCACCAGTTACTTCTAATCTTAATGTTTCATTTAATATCATGGTCAGTCTTTATGTGCGTTGGCATATTATTAAATAAATCGGTTCTTAGCAACGACCGATTATATGTTGTTGTTTTTACGTGTAAGTAATAGATAAGAGATGTGCACTGACATGTTCTTAAAAAAAAAAATTAATCACGACCAATTGTATGTTGTTACGCATGTAAGTAATATGTCAAGAAGAGTCAATGTCAATATTTATTATATGTTGGCATGTTAAGTAATAGATCAAGAAAAGTCAAGGTCAACATTTATTGTACGTTGGCATGTTTTTAAAGAAATCGATTTTTAGTCACATACAATTATGTTGTTTGTTTCGCGTGTAAATAATAGAAAAGTGTTGCAAATATTAGTTTGTGGGGACGACGAGTTGCTTAGTTATGGAACAATAATGTTGTGTACAATAAAGTTTAAATAATATATATTTTTTGCATGAGAAATATTTTATGGTTTGATAATTTTTCTACGAATTATCACTCTTTTATTTATTAATATATTTTAATTTTTAATATTTTCCAAAGTAAATACAGCCCGTGCATCGCACGGGTTACATACTAGTTTTTTAGAATTCTATAGCTAATAATTGTTGTTCATTATTGAATAACCTAATTTGATATAAGATAGGTATTTATTATTAAATTATCGCATACTTAAATTTCAAACACTATAAATACATATATGAAAGGATATGAACGAAATAGTTTTTTTTTGCAGCAATAATCTTAACCTTATATTTTTATACAAAGACATATACCAAATGATGAATACAAATACCTTCGAATTAAATTTGATATTATAATTATATTTACTCCAAAAAAAAAAAAATCTTAAATCAAACCAATGTAGAAGGATTATACATTATTTTCAATATCTAGAAAATTATAAAGTACCAAACATATAGTACATACGATACACAATATATTAAAATACAACTATAAATATAATAATTGGTACTTTCGTTTTACAAATACAACATTCACATTTTAATAATATTTATATTTACTTCACTGCGATTCATGTAATTTATAGCAAATACGTAAAACTTATATATTTATATTTCAAGTAGTTATATGATATAAGTTATAAAAACTTATATAATATAACACTTATAAGTCATAAGTAATACATATCATTCTAAAATATATAGTAATATATTTTTTTTGTTAAAAATTAAACTAAATTTAATATAGTTTTCTCATTAATTTTAAAATTTAAAAATAACTTTTTAACAAGCACCCGTGTAATACACGGGTGTTGTACTAGTTTGATAAAATTTAAAAATTTCAATAGACTTATTTGAAATGCTAAATAGATTAACTTGTGAGGTAAGGTCAAACTTATTTTAAATATTCCAAACCAAACTTATTCAAAGTAATAAGCTAAGTGCACAAGTAAGTTTATTTATTTTAAACCTTACAATGATCGAGTTTAAAGATGGAAATTTGAAATCCAAACAAATATAACATAATTGTGTTTTTAAGTATTTCTTTAACTTTTAATATCATTTAATTATAAGTTGGTAAGACAAAAAAAAGTATGAACAAATATAGTATGAATACATTTTTCAAAAAATAATAATAATTAATATAATTGTAGATCGAGATTCTAGTATTATTAAGTATGAAATTAAATGAAATTAGGTCGTTAATACTATATGTTAGTAACTTTTTAAAAATACTCAAATTATATAATATTAAAAGGTGATATATAATATATGAACAAGACACATCTAACGTTATAACTCAAATTTATGGTCAGTACGGTATGAGATGGTGTTTGGTTCCCGATACGGGTATTTATAAAATTACCAGAGTCGTACCAATTATTTTTTTCGGTTCGATTTGATTTGGTTCAGATAAAGTCAAATTAACGGTTATTTTTCTATTCGAAGTTATTTCGGTTCTGTGTTCGAACAATTCGAAATTGTCTGAGTTCTATGCTCAACTCTAGTATGAACAGTATACTTCATAAGTTCTAAAGGATTAATTCATAGTCAACTATATTTGTATCGAATCCCGATACTCGAGTGTAGAATGTGGTGGCTACAATAGGATGCCAACCAAATGTTATATTTAAGAGGAAACCTCTATTCGAAATTTACAATTATATCAACTGATTAAAAAATAATAAAAAAAATTAATTAAAAAACTATGCTCTGACACACATGTAACATGATTATGTGTTTGGTAAACAACATTAGACTATATAGTATTTAATTAGCTTATGAGCTTATTACGTTGAATAAGTTTGGTTTGGAATTTTTAAATAAGTTTGACCTTACCACATAAGTTACTCTACTTAGCATTTAAGATAAGTCTATCGAATTTTTAAATTTTATTAAATACTTTTGTATGTTAACTAGTTTTTCAGTCAGGAATCGACTTAAAAATAGCTTACAGCCTATCATTTAACATATAGGTACCAATTAATTTCTCAAT